ACACATCTCCAGCCCCATGCCGGTCCGACCGTATCTCCTCGAGAGACACAAATCCTTCGACCCGGGTTTGTACCAGCAGCTGGAGGAGGTTGATTATTATCGGCTGCAGCCGATACAGCAGCAGCCGTGTCATCTGGAGAGTGGGATAGGGATGGGGCGGAGGAGGGAGGTTGAGGTGGAGTTTTTTCAGAGATATCATCAGATACATAGTTAGTTAATGAAATGGGTATATATATGTGTATGTATATGTTGGGTTTTTTTTTTGATTGCAACTTGTATAGCATGGCTTTGTACTGTACGGCCCTGTAGGCAATGTAAATTAAACATTAAAATACCTATAATGAATCATACGAGAAGTAAGATGGATCAGATGATGAGATGGTAAACAAAATACAAATTAAACCTAAGCTGAGCTAAGGTCACTGGACAAAGTATTCGCTGCGAGTAGTTGCACGGTACATACTGTACTGTCCATTAGACAAAAATGAAAGAATAAATAACGATATGACTCTCTTCCCAAAAAGAAAATCTGTCAAGAACGGAGTATATACCACACTTAGACCGATCTGCTCTGTACAAAAGTAGGTACTTACAGGATATAATAATAATATATAGCACTATTTCACCTCACCGGCCGCAGAGTGGTCGGGTCGATCGTCTACCTAAGAGGGATGTCGCTGTCGCTGCCAATTATAGATGCGGGGTTGTATGTATGACTGTACCGTACTATACAATACCGTACGGACGGGAAGTAAGTGCATGGACGGAGAATATATTATACTCCGTACGGAGGAGTGTCTGGCACTGCCTTATTATTGCCCCACACATACCTACTGACTCTACATCATGCTCGTATATGGCTATGCTGGCTCCTATTTTTGTCGATGGGTTTTTTTCCTGCTTTAGCTACTTACCTACCTAATTAAGTAGGGATATGGAGTGCAGAGAGTAGTGGCCCTGGCTCAAGCTTGAATCAAGCTTTGTGGTCTGTGCTGTTGCCAGGTACCTAAGTTTGCTGGTAGTTACTAACCTTGCCTGTATTGATTATTTATTGTGTGCTCTGGGACAGACTCAGAGACTGGATTAGGTATGCTGGTGCTGGTGCTAGGATGGAGTATAGGTACATTACATGTACTGTGACTAACTGACGACATCAAACAGATGGTTTGGTTCCTCTAGTACTCCGTATTCGTGGATGTATTTATTGTCCCTTGTCTAGACGATCAGTGCCATCCTGCAAGACACCAAGTCTACTGCCTGACGACGGGGTGGAATAAGGACTGGTTGATGAATGGTCAGCTAAAACTGGGCATATGAAGAATATAGAGCATCTAGATTAAGATATTCTTAATGCAGATCATTCATCGATGGGAATATTGTATACTAGCTATGATTCGCATTGCCAATGAACGTTGACCTCTCTATATCAATAAGGAGACTCGCTGTCAGGTGAGCTTCACGTGTTGAGCTGTCCCGTGATCGTATCCGGATATTATTTTCTTGCTTCGTTCTACCACTCTGCATCATCTTCATTAAATCTGCACCTCGTCAATGGCCAATCTCATGGCCACCGCACCGTCAGCTAAGGCCCCCAGCTGAACGTGCAGCAATATGCCGCTGACATTGGATCGCCTCCATTGGACGCGAGTGGACTAATACTCACTAACCGGTAGATTCTGCTCTCCTGACGGATCCTCGGACAGCCTCGGCATCCGTCGCATTCCGTCCAAACAAAGGGTGGCCAACAACGCTGACGTCTTTTTCCCATCCTGAATATTAAATTACTCCTCGCCAGCGTGCCCATTGCCGTCTATTCTCGCGTTGGTCCTTGCGCGCGCCGATCGCTGGCGAAGGCTGGGGGTTGCCTGTTTGGGTGGTGCTGCTGACCCCAAAACTTTCCTTCCGCTCGGGACCGCGCTGAACGCTGAATGCTTGTGGCTACGGTGTCAACAGCCTGCATCCCGACTGCTCCTCCCCCAACGCCATCCGGAGGATCATTATTCTGCATACTCGCTTTCTGCTGCAGTCTCTTCTGCCTGCCTACGCCTTCCGTCTGATCCTCCGCTGCTGTCCTGCCTGTCCGCGCTGACAGGCACCGCGCCATCATGGCGGGCATGGAAGAGCTTGAGATCCACAGCAAAGTACGTCTTCATCGCGTCCACACGCGCTCGAGCGAGCGTTCTTTTGGGTGAAAAAGGGCAAAGCTGACGTCCGCTCCTCCCCCACAGTCGTACCTCGTGCGCTGGGTCAACGTCAAGGGCGACCACACCATCTCCTGGAGCATCCAGCCTCACAAAAAGTCCCTCAACTTCGGCATCTTCAAGCATCCCGGCCAGCTGGCCTCCTCCTCGTCCGCCGCCCCCACCTCCGATTCCCACAGCGTCGAGTCCAGCGACCATCCGCATCAGTCCGCCGTCATCGACAAGCTGCGAGGCATCGGCCTCAAGCCCATCCAGTGGATTGGGAAATGCGAGGCCGACAAGATCTCCCAGGGCACCTATGATGTCCCGGCCCACGAGGGCGGCAACTACGCCCTCGTGTTCGACAACACCTTCTCCAAACAGACTTCCAAGACCGCCACCCTCGTCCTCCTGACCTACCCGACCGCCATGCCTCCGCAGTCCGGCCACCAGGTCCATCACTCGCAGGCGCTGGCAGCGGCAAACAACGCTGGCAGCGCCGGCCACCGCGTCTCGCCCAAGCTCAACCCCGTCACCAATGGCTCCAGCGATACGCTGGCCCATCCCCAGGCCAAAGGGCGCAATGTGTCGGGCGGGAAACCGACCAAGCGCCCCGGCAGCGCCACTTCGTCCAACGGCATCTCTGCCACGGTCCATACCGGAGTGCTGCAGAAGCGACGGAGGAAGCGTCACCAGGGCTGGGCCCGGCGGTTTTTCTCGCTCGACTTCACTTCCTCGACTCTGTCCTACTATCACGACCGCAACTCGTCCGCTCTGCGCGGCGCCATTCCCCTGCAGCTGGCGGCCGTGGCAACCAACGCGGAGAGGCGCGAGTTCTCGATCGACTCCGGCGCCGAGATCTGGCATCTCCGGGCCACCAATGACCAGGATTTCGCGGCATGGAAGACGGCGCTTGAAAAGGCCGCCAAGCAGTCGACAGAGGACCGTCCTTCCGACGCGACTTCTCCTCTCCTCCAGATTCCCCCCAACGCGTCGCAGCGCGCCGTCCCTAATCCGGCGGAGGACCGGGAATGGGAGCAGATCGAGAGTCTAGTGAGCAAAGTCTCGGGTACGAGGGATGCGGTGCGACGGCTGGCCAAGGACACGGATCCCAAATATTTCAGTTCGACCAATTTGGCGACTTCTGAACGACGCGGCCGCTCCCAGAGCCCCCATCCCAGTCCCTCGGAGCCTTCAGGAGGGGGGGAAGATTACTTTGATGCCAAGGAGAGGCGGCCATTCTGGAAACGGAAGGTTAACAACAACAACAACAACAACAACAACAACAACAACGCCGCCGCGGCGAAGCGACCTCCTACGTCTACACCTCTAACTGTCCCCAGTGCGGCCAGCGACAATGCATCTGTTATCGGCGACAGAAAGCCGAGGAGCGTCATTAGCCATCCGGACTACGAGGATGACATTCACGAGCATCTCATGGCTGTGCTGCGGGATCTCGATAGCGTCGTGGCTGAGTTCTCCGCTTTGATTGCTGAAAGCAAACACCGGCGGCATCCATCAGTCTCTGCCGTGCCGTCCCGTGTCAGCATGGAATCAGATATGTCGCAGGAGTTTTTTGATGCCGAAGACGGCCCCAGCCCAATGTCTCCGCTGCTCACGATCCAGCACGACTCGGAGGAAGAGGCGGAAAAGCACGAGGAGGAGGAGGTCGTGGACGATGCCGACTCTCTGACGGGCAGTGATGTGGACGACGGAGACAGCTTCACCCGGAAGGGTCTCCGGCTGGACAATTCGTCGTTGCTCTTCCCTTCGAAACCCAAGTCGTTGGCTCCTCTGCCGCTGAACCCCGTACAGCGTCGAAACATCGTCCCAGCGCCGGTCATGCAGCCGCCGAGTTTGATTGGATTCTTGCGGAAGAACGTGGGCAAGGATCTGTCGGCGATTTCGATGCCGGTGACGGCTAATGAGCCATTGTCGCTGCTTCAACGAGCTGCGGAATGCATGGAATATTCGACGCTCCTGGACCGGGCGGCGAGCGCGACGGATGGCCTGGAGCGGCTCATCTACGTGACAGCGTTTGCGCTGTCGAGCCTGTCGTCGAACCGGGTGAAGGAGCGGGCGATCCGGAAGCCGTTCAACCCCATGCTCGGTGAGACGTTTGAGCTCGTCCGCGAAGACCGCGGGTTCCGGCTGATCGCGGAGAAGGTGTCGCATCGGCCGGTGCAGCTGGCCTACCACGCCGACGGCAAGGACTGGAGTTTGACGCAATCGCCAATGCCGACGCAGAAATTCTGGGGGAAGTCCGCTGAGATCGTCACGGAAGGTAAAGTGCGGCTGACGCTGCACGGGAGCGGCGAGCGCTTCAGCTGGGGAAATGCCACCTCGTTTCTGCGGAATATTATCGCCGGCGAGAAGTACGTCGAGCCGGTGGGCGAGATGGTCGTCGTTAACGAGACGACGGGCCAAAAGAGCGTGACAACGTTCAAGACGGGGGGCATGTTCTCTGGGCGGAGCGAGGAGGTCAGCGTCAAGGCGTTTGACATCCACGGCAACGAGCTCCCTCTGGGGCTGGCGGGCACGTGGACGGGCTCGCTACAGCTGACGGAGCACGGGGCGACGACGAACAAGACGATCTGGGCGGTTGGTTCGCTGGTGGACCAGGCGGCGAAACGGTACGGGTTCCCGGTGTTCGCGGCGACGCTGAACGAGGTGACGCCGATCGAGCAGGGGAAGCTGCCGCCGACGGACTCGCGGTTGCGGCCGGACCAGCGGGCGCTGGAGGACGGCGATCCTGACACAGCGGAGGAGCTGAAGGCGAAGCTGGAGGAGAAGCAGCGCGAGCGGCGGCGCGAGATGGAGGCACGGGGAGCGACGTATCGGCCGCGGTGGTTCACGCGGGTGCAAGAGCCGCATGGGGATGAGGTGATCTGGCGGTTGAAGACGGGCAAGGACGGATATTGGGAGGAGCGCAGCCGGGGGGAGTGGAATGGCGTCGTTCCCATCTTTAAGCTGTAATGTATCATACCTGACGGCAGTCTGACAGTGATATCTCCTGGTACATATATACGTAGACGTTTCATTTTTGCAATCGCGAGATTTATTAATCAGAGATTCCTTGATATCTTTCACGTCCGTTTCCATCTCTGTAGCATATGTAGCCATGTAGCCGTATATGATTACCATTTACCTCTACTGCGTATTCGAAGTGGTCTCGCGAGGATTATATATTCCTTTCAGGGTTCAAAGGAATATAGTTATGAGGTCCGCTTGGAGAGTATTCTTTTTTTCTTTTTTGTCTGCTACTGCTGCTACTGCTGCTGCTGCTACAGCTATTACTTACTTACTTCCTGCAATCGGTAGTGCCGGGCAGGACACGACATCTATCCAATATCTATCTATCTATCTAGTAATTATCATCAATCTAGATAGATAGGTGTCTTGTCTTGTCTTGTCTTGCCTTGCCTTGTCTTGTCTTATCTTGTGGACTGTTTAATAACAGTATTTATTGAATCGAGTTGAATCGACAGCACATCGACACGACATCGTTCATCGTTCGTCAGAGGGAAGGGTTATTAATATTAAAGGAAGGAAGGAGCATGCTACTATGCTATGCTATGCTATGCTATGCTGTTTGTCGGTTCTTGTTGTTGGCAATTTTATCAGAGAGTTTTTTTTTTTAAAAAAAAAGGCGTAATTAATTAATTAGTTAGTTAGGGGTGACTATACTAATACTATATTATTAAACATGGAGTTTACTTCTCTGCTATGTAGAGGGATGAGATACACCTAGGTATCCCCGGACTGAGTATTGTTTAGTTTGTTTATTGTTTATTGTTTAGTCAGACTTAGGTAGTTAAGATGAAGCAAGCTTGCTTCAGTCTACGGTGAAAAAAAATAATTAGATTAGATTAGAGAAGATTTTATTCATTTCTTTATTTATTATTTCTGCAATGCTCGTAAAGTACAGTGCAAACATAAGAAAAAAAATCAATACAAACACGAGGTATTTCAATCGCTAATGCTACCCGAACATAATGCAACCAGCAGAATAAAAAGAAACAAACCCAAACCCAAGTTGAAAAGTTGAAAAGTTGAAAAATTCTTTCTTGTCGAGGTGACATCTACCGCCGCTTCCCAGCCAGCATATTAGTAAACAGCAACTTGAAGCCGTTGCACAGCGCCTGCATGTCCGGATACGGGTTGCGCTGCAGCTCGTAGCCCTGCGGAATCACTTTCACCGGCCAGCACTGCAGCGACGCGTTCTGCCCCGCCTTGAAGCACAGGTTGAAGTATCCCGGATACTTTGTGTTGATGCAGAAGGCGTAGGCGGATCGTTTCGGGTTTGCCTTGGTGTATGTCTTCAGCCACTCCTCTGTTATTTGTTAGCATCTGACAGAAAACAAGATAGGCAAGTAGACGGCTTACCAGTTGCGGCTTGGGTGGTGTTGTGGAACTTGTCGTTGTTCATCATCTCTTCTACCTTCTTGGCCATCGCCTGTACATGGTTCACAATCAAATCGTCCAGGTCGCTGTACGTGTATTTTCCTCCGATCTTCAGGATCCGTCCCACCGCGTACTCGTTCTCCTTGTCCAGCTCCAGCACGTCGATGTGTTGGTACACACCATCCGCCACCTTCCACGTCACCGTCAAGTGATCTGGCCCCTTGGACGACGGCCGGATCACGCAGTCGCCCCGGCTCTGGCCTCCCAAGTACTCCTCCGCTTGCGCTGAATTGAACGGCCGGAACAGCGGGTGCTTGATCACGCGCATGAAGCGATTCTCCACCTTGGTCGTCTCCTGCAGCGCCTTCCGATCCTCCTCTTCTTGTCGCTCGTCCCACTCGCCTGGCGCGCGATCGACCGTCTTCTTCAACGGGTGGCTGACCTGGTCCTCACGGAGCGACATATTGGCCGTAAAGTTCTTGCGGTTGAGATAGAGGATTTTGCCCAGCACCGACTGGTGTAGCTCGTAGAGATCCCGGGCTGACCGGTCGTGGCGATCCGTCATGTGCGCCTCCGGCACTATCACGTCAATACCGCAATCGAGAATGCCCTCGATGTGATCGTGTGTGATCCGCTTGATGGACATGGGCACCACCATGCCTTCCCGGAGCGTTTCGGACGTCTCGCCAGTGAGCATGGTGAAGATTTCATCGGTGCTAGGGAAGGCGAACTGTTTCCGCAGCTCCTCGTACGGTTGCTGCAGCTCCGCCCGGATCGTCTCCAAGGTGGCCCGCTTGCGCTGGTTGAGGTTCTTCTCCAGCTGCTCCGCGTATTCCTCCAGAATCAGATCGTTCACCCGGTCCTGCGCCTCTTCCTTGAACAGTTTCCGGACAATCGCGCCCTGGCCGTTTTCGTCCGTCTCGGCTTTGATATCTTCCTCGTCCAGCTCCAGCGCGTCCGCCGCCATCTTGCGTGCGATGTCGTAGTCTTCTGGATGGACACGAGTGTTGTCGAGAGGGTCGGCGTCCGGATCGGCGTTCTCCCAGTCAATATACAGGAAACTGGCACAGTTGTTCCACACCTTCACACCCATCGCCGGATATTGGGCGTTGACACCAAGGAGCTCAACCCGGTTATTCACCACGCCGCCGTTCATGTTGATAATCTTCAGCAAATGGGAGGCCTTCCGCGGACCCAGACCGCAAATGTAAGGCAGCAGACTGGCTGTGGAGCTGTCGGTGACCGCCTCATTGATATCGATACCGACGAGATTGACCATGTCCACCAGGGCAGTCTCCAAATGCCGCATAAGGAGATCCTCCGAGACGTACTGCTGTCCAGACGCAAACTGGATTTGGACGACGTCCTTCCCAAGGGCAGCGTACTCCTTCATGGGGCTCTGCATGTATCTGGCCAGACCAACGCAGTAAGGGAACAACGAGTTCCGTGCCGTCGGGAACTCCTCCCTCGCCCGCTTGCTAGCGGAATATGCCCGCGCGGTCTCGTCATTGACGATGACAACCTCCAGCCGATCACTGACCTCTTTGTCGTCTTCATCGGTGTAGGGGGCACTGCGGAGATCCTTCTTGTCAATGATATCGCAAAGTTGCTTGTAGAGCTTCCGGGTGTCAGGATGGTAGCCAGACACCGCAACGACGTCCGGGCGCCGCCGCTCAACCAGCTCCACGAAGGTGGCCACGTCCTTGCCTTCCTTCATATGACGATCCTTGTCACCCGTTCGCAGGTCCTCAAACAAGCCGCTTTCCACCACACGACCGTCTTCTTCCACCCAAGCCCACTGGATGTAGCCTTCACCATTCATCCGGCACCGCCCGCTTGTCACAGCAAGCACTCGAGGTACTGTTCCCAGGACCATCCCCTTGGGCTTGTATGGAGCCTGGTCGAGCTTCTGAGAGAACACCTCCCGGCACTCCTTGGCCACATGGTTCTCGCATTCTTGCCGAAGGTTCTCTTTGACGCTGCGGTTCATAACCTTCTCCAGCTTGGACAGTGCCATGTCAATTACCTCGCGCCGCTCACGGTTCCAGGCCTCGGCAACTTCACTGAGATTGTCCGATTCGATGTGGGCATACAGGCTCTCCCGGTACCGGTCGAAGTCCTGAAAACGGACCTTGACCTGGACGAGGCCTTCTTCTTCGGCCTTCAGCATACGCAGGAACAGCTCAGGACGGCGAGCGATGTCGGTGAGTTGCTGATTGCGCAGGTACTTGAACTCGTAGTAAGGGTGCTCTTCGTCGATCCGTCGGAGGCCCTTGTCGGTGCGGTAGCAGTCGACCACGCCCTTCATGTAGCATTCCTGGCGGACGACTTTGCGCATCCGGGGGCTCATCACCAGTTCCTCGGCAAACATGCTTTTGGCGGCTTTTAGGGCCTTGGACGCGTTCGTGAAGTCCGTGTCCAGAAGGCTGTCCGCTACCTCCTCCGGCGGCTTCTCGGGGTCTTCGGTGTACTGTCCACGGCCCTTTTTCAGAGCTCTCTGCGCGACAGCATCGGGGGTGATTCCAAAGGCGCGTACGAGATTGTAGACATTACTGTTTCTGACGCGATCAAAGAAACTTTTCGCTCCGGTTCTGCGGCGGAGTGGTGTTTCACCTTTGGCCTCGGTGCCATCAACACCATCTGCGCCATCTGCGCCATCCGCACCCTCCGTACCATTCGTGCCGTTCGTGCCATTCCCCATCAAGGACAAGTCTTTGATTTGGGGCCCATACTGGAAGTGTACGTATTCCTGAAGATCCTGGAGTTCTTCCATCGTCGTGGCAGCCGGGAGCATGTCCTCGATGATGTCATCCTTGATTTTCATGACGCTCTGGAGCTTATCGTAGATGTTCTGCACGTGATGCCGTTTGTCGATGAAGGCACGGAACTTGAGGTCAAGGTCGAAAATGTCCCACAGATCCGTCATGTTGAGTAGTTTCTGAGCCTTGATGGTGTACTGCGGAGCATCTGGATTATTAGGGTCCGGAGAGACCGGCACTTTAGCGGCGTGAATCAGATAGTCCTTGCGATGCTGGAAGATGAATGGTACTTCCCAATCCTCCGTGACCATGAACTCGAGCACCTTGGTCACGGAACGCTGGAAAGGCTCCCGGAGTTCTGGTTCGATACGCTTCTTCAGCAACATCATATTCGCTATCCATCCGGCCTCCTCACGGAACTCTTCATCGCTGAGGGTGACGTGCTTGTACGGTTTGCGGGCGATCTGGTGGCGTTCAGGCTCGTCGGTGAATCGGATCTCATTGTCTTCGTCCGTCAACATCTTCTCCGCCAGCAGCGATGGCTCGAACACATCCTTGAGGTCGAGTTGCTTTTCTTCCTCCATCTCGCGCTCTTCCTCTTCCTCTTCCATCTCGAGAGCGAAGAGATAATCCGTGCCATCGCCAAAGGCCGCACGCATATCCTCCAGGGCGTTCTCGTCGAGTCCGGTAGCCTCGGTGAGGGCCAGGCCGGAGATGCCCTTCCGG